GACTAAATGTTATGTAATAAAGGGGTTTATGTTTATCGCTCCTGATAACGATGTCTGAAAAGCTGTAAATACATCTTTCTAAGTGCTGCCAATCCACCATAATAAACAAGTCGATTGAATGATTAATGAGTGATTAAATTTGACCTCAAGCTCTTGGCATGGAGAGAAAGTTAATAAATATATAAGCATAAGCCAAGAAAGTGGGGTTATGTCAGTGTAGAGTAACACAAAGGGTATACACATCCAGGTACCCCTTCACCAACACACCCGTTTTTATTAGAGGATGTTTAGAGAGACGCAACACGATGAAAAAAGAGTGGAGAAAAATAACGAGGGGATATATTTAAAATAAAAATCCAAAATAAAATAGTAGCACACCTGAAAAAGTCCATAGAGGAATAAAAAGTGAAATAAAAGTACATTTATATCACAATCAGGAACATGTTTTTATCTACTGATATCTCACTTTAGAGCTCACATCACGGCTCATTAGTGAATGATTTCTCAGAATTGCTTTGTGTGTGTGTGTGTGTGTGTGTGTGTGTGTGTGTGTGTGTGTGTAACTTCAGGTCAGTACAGTATGCAGTATGATTTCTCTGAATGGTGTTGTATATTTCATATATGATCATAGTTATAAATAATTCTTTTATGTATAAATATAAAACACAATATCACTATCTGTATCTGTATCCGTTTCATGACTGAAATATTCGTATCTGTATCTGTAAGTGGGCGTGGCCTAAGCAAGACAATTTTTTTTTTAAAATTAAACTAATACAAAGCCTCGTATCTGTATCTGCTTCAAACACCCGTTCTGTCTGGTCTGACTTTTGGCGGTCACTGCAAAGATTTGTGTGAAATATTGTTCAAGCTTTTCATTATCCATCTGATTTCAGGTCCCTGTAGGGATGGTTTGTGTGTGTGAGAGAGATTTCTCAGACTTTTGTTTTGTGTGTGTGTGTGTGTGTGTGTGTGTGTGTGTGTGTGTGTGTGTGTGTGTGTGATCTCAGGTCAGTCGTCGTCTAGCTCAGTGGGAGAAGTGGTGATGCACGTGGATCTCATTTCTCACCCTGGCACCGGAGAACATAAAGTCAATGTGAAGGGTAAGCTGAACACTCACACACACACACACACACTCACTCACACACACACACACACACAATTTTAAGCACTTTATTTATTTCTTCATCTCAAAAGGACGCCTCCTCGACTCTCCTCGACTCTCCTCATTTCAGCGATGATGTATATTTTATGATGGACAGCGCTCAGTGCTCGGGATATTTTATGACTGTAATAATGATGCATCTGTACTTTCACAGCACACACACACTTTCTTTATATGTGTCGTTATACCTCCTCCATACACACCATCATCAAATGACTTCCCTTGCTGGGATTGAAATGAACGCGTCAAGCTTAAGGTTCAGAAACCTGATTAGAGGTAAAACCTCCGCTGCCAGAATGAGAAAATTACACTGATATCACCTAAGAGTTCATTAAGCATGAATAACCCTGAATTAAACTCCGCAGCGTGTGGCGTTAAAATTACCGCACGGCTATTACCACTAATACGGACTGGCTAGTGCGATTGGTCTTTTATTTTTATCTTTTATAGTTAAGAGGATATAATTTGGGGCTGAACAAATCTCTGACTGGTTTCTGGAGTTAAGTATTACGGTTTCTGGGGGGAGGAGTTTGTAGGCATCTCATTTTCTCGGGCCGTTTACACACCAGTATTTACGAGGGGAAGTTTGCGTGTATTCAGACATCGGATAACTACGTGCTCAACTCGATTTTCCTGACTCCCAATTCAGATTATTAGAATCACCTGTGTGTAGTTCTCCTCTGAGGTTGCCAGATATTTCTTAAGTAGAAGCGTCTGAGACCACCAGCAGGCTGAAGAACAGTTTCTACCTGCAGGACGTCAGGATCCTGAATAAACTGTTATCCAGTCATTGCTCCTTCTTCCACTCTTTCACTCCCACACACTGGTCACCTCACTGACAGCTCAAGGACACTCATGGACAATCTCTTCACATGTTTCTGACACTTTAATATTTCCAAGCCCACTGTTACCACTTTACTGCTGGTGAAGCCTAAGTCCTGTCTCTGTGCAATACACTGATATATTGTACATGTTTATTATGCACTACACATACTACTACGTCTAATTTAATTGTAGATTGTTTTATTTTTTTAAGTGCTACTTTGTACTGCCGCTTCATCCGCTTTTTATACTCTCCTCTGTCTGTAGAGGACTGCATAATATTGCACTAATATTCTCTGCATATTTTGTATTTGTTGCATGTTTTTTTTGTTGTTCAAGGTCCGACAGCTACTCGTGTGCACGACTTAATGAAGCCACAAGATGCTACAATCGAGATCATGAAATTCTAATGTGTAATTCACTATTTTGTTTTGTTGAGTCAATGAAACAATGCCAATGTTTTGTTTGTTTTGTTTTTATTTCGATGCGCTCTCCTGTAAAGAAAACACGTAAACGGTTTGAAGGATAAGCTGACCAAGTGGTCGCCTGCTGTGCTTACAGAGACACTTTAAATGACTTAATTTTATCCATTAAAAAAATTCAGGCTTTGAAATAAGAAACTAAATATACTAAGATCTACAATTTAGAAGGGTTTCCTCTAGTGTCCTCTCTGCAAAACAAGAATAATTAATTAATTAATTTGATTTAATTATAATTTTTCATGGATTTCATCGATTTCATAGAAGATATTATTCCTTAATTAATAGTGTCATATTTATGTAATTAAGGCATTCCATAGTGTTTTGGAGTGTTTTTACAGACAGAACATACATTTCATAAATTTCATGACATTGTGATTACATCAAACTAGCAGATGCTGGACGCAAGAAAAATACACTTAAGTATGAGCTCAGAATCTCTCATAACTAAGACAAATCTCTCTTTTAATGAAACTCCGCCCCCTGTGTGTAATTTCTAAACATCTGATGTAATAATAGCGATGTGTGCAATTTCAGCATTAATTCCTCGCTGTGTGTCCTCAACTCGAATATGTGCGTTGTATGTAATGCTGTAGAGAAAACCTATAAAGTCAGATACTAAACTGATCTTCTTCTTCTTCTTCTTTCGGCTGCTCCCGTTAGGCATCGCCACAGCGGATCACTGGTCCGCATATTTGATTTGGCAGTTTTTGTTTGTTTTTTTTTTAAATGCCGGATGCCCTTCCTGACGCAAGCCTCGCCAGTTTTTCAACCCCAGTGGCTGGGGTCGGTTCCCTGGCTGGGAATCGAACCCGGGCTGAGGTGGTGAGGACGCCAAAGCCTAACCACTAGTCCTCCAGGGATCCTAAAGTCAGATACTAAACTAAGACAAAAAAAAAAAAAAACATCCCTGATCTTTGGGATAATTTGCTTGGTTCATTGTTCTTCCTGTCTCATCAACAAATGTTTTTATTTATTTATTTGTTTGTTTGTTTGTTTTTTCTTGTAGTGGTGGGTGTGAACAACATTAACTGGCAGACGAACACCATGTTCCGACCGTTTGTCGAGATCAACGCCATCGGTCCGAACCTCGCCGACAAGAAACGCAAATACAGCACCAAGACCAAGAACAACAACTGGTCACCGAAATACAACGAAACATTCCAGTAGTGAGTACTTCCTTCATTAATCATTCATTAATCATTCATTAATCATTCATTAATCATTCATTAATCTTGCCAGAGTTTTCTTTGGTCTATGCAGGATATTATAGTTTTACTTTTACCTTAAGTGAATAAGATAAATTCACAAATGTCGAGATCAATTTGAGGTTATGTGTAGCGGTCTGGGAAAACACTTCTCATGGTCAAATTCTAGGAACTTCACACGTTCCTGAACTGTATCACAATCAGAAGTAAAGTTCTAGCATTTTCAATTCCTCCAAAAGTGAAAAAAGGAGAAAATCGCATTTTTGCAAAGATTACATTGAAATTTCACTGAAGGACGCTGCGCCTACTTCTACATTTATAGCCTGATCTACTGATGGGAAAACAACAATACTGGCAAATTTGACAGAATTATAGGTTTACAACAGGAAACGAGTTCTCACTTTGATTATCGGCTTCATCCACATCAGTCTCTGTCTCATCACCTGTCGTGAAAGCTAATGTGATCTCTGTTCGTCGGTGGAGAAATAATCGCTGATTCATTCGCTCACTTCTTCCTAATTTGCTAATTATCTTGTTTGTTAAAGAAAACTTTGGTGAGTCTACAAGCGCTCTGGGTTTTCCTCAGCTGGTATCTGATTACACACTAAATCGGCACCGAGTGTGAAGAACTCGCACTCAGCTAGCGAGGTTTTATTCATCTTCCATCTGACTGGTTTTAGTGCTGCGTTCGTTAAACTCCTTACACAACATGACGCCAAGGTTAGAAAGTAGAAGATAAATAATAATCGTCTCATTTTGGTGAAATATATTGATGTTTTCTTAAAGTAGAGACGTCACAGTATATTACTGGCAGAAAGATGTTTTTTGCAACATCTGACAGGTTTTCTCAGAACGCCACACGTTTGCATCCTAGACTAGTATATGACCAAATGTCATGCAGAAGAAGTATATCTGAGAAGGTTTAAGGAAGGATATAAGACACTCCTCTCACTGTTGGCTTTTATACAGCAGCAGCAGCAGCATTCAGCTGAGGTTCCTCAAACCAGCGTCTGCTCCCGAGACACTTGCCCTGCTCTCACTTTAAGCTTAAGAGGCTATTAAAAACAGAAGAGACTAAATATGCTTTAATAAAATCTTCTGCACTTTCAGGCTGAATAGAGATGCTTCAGACTGGCCGAGTCTTTTCAGTGCCAGAACAATAACACACACTCTTTCGGGAAGGAGCCATTATCACTCCCGTTATAAAATGTCAGAATATCAGGAATTAAAAGCCGTTTACAGCGGCGTTTAGTTTAATGTGAAAATGTTGTTGAAGGCGACCTTTTGGCTCAGGATGTTGAGTCGGTGAATGTCCTTCTGTGCCTGAGAATGTTCTCTTAAGCATTATAAAACCCTGAACTTTACACAAGAGCAAAACAAGTACATACAAAGCAGATGGAGGCACAAGTCCAGCATTTACTGCGCTTTATGAACGTTTCCAGACCAAATGAACACGACAGAAATGTTCAGTAAAAATGGTGAAACAGTGTACTGTATATTAAGGTCGAGTTTTTGTACTCTGTACATTTTAGCATTTTTCTTTAAATGACCTGATTTAAAACTCTCAAAAATGAGAAAATCTAACAATCTAGCCGTACTCTATTTAGTAAAGCCCAAAATATATAGAATCTTTTTTTTTATAAATATATATGCCAACTTTTTGAGGACACTCATCTTCTTTGTTAGTGCGTTTGTTTTTGTCTATACTGAATAACGAATTTCTTGATTTTATAGTTTAAAGTGTCTTTAGAGAACAAAAAAAAACAACATCCCAGACGTGATCATATTTTTACTTTTATTAAGAAATTATTATTTATTAAGCAATTTGCATGTTGGAACATGATTGGATCTTCTATTTTATGATGTAAAGACCTTTATTTAAAACAGCAAAACTACTGCATTTCTTCCATTTTTCACACTTTGTCCAGTATATGTTTTTTAAATGAACTCCCCAAAAGGGATCTAATTATTTAAAGATGTTTAAGATTTATAGTTGAATTAAAGCAAAACATTCTTGTTAGATTTCTTCCATATATTGTGAGATTTTAACCGTATACATTATTAAGAAAATGGGTGGATGTACAAATTTTCATGTCCACCCCCCCCCCCTTTTTAGTAATTTGCATGCTGCAACATGATTGGATTATCTGTGTTATGACGTAATAACACTTCAGATGCTAGATTTCCCAGTCAGACTGGTTCGAAGCTGTTGTTTCATAAACGAAGGCGGCAAAACCAGCCTTTCACTTTTCACACGTTGTCTAGTCCGTGCATTGACGTCGACTCCCTAAAAAAAAGTATTTCCATTATATTAAACAAATTTTATATCCTACAGTTTAAGATGACTTTATGATTTTAGTTGTATGCATTGTATGGAAGTATCGTATGTGAGATTCTGACATTTACTTTCAATTAGAAAATTGTGAATATTCAAATCTGGAATGCCTCCATCCTACATGTACCCACCCCTTTCCTCTAATAAAACATTTCATTCACTGTCCTGTCATTTGCATATCCGTTGCACATGATTGGATCTTTAAGGTTATGATGTAATAACACACCACATACTAGATAAATAAAGCCAGCAAAACCACCGCAGTGACAATTTTCCATTTACAGAAGTTCTCCAGTCTGTGCTTTTTGAATTAATTCCCCAAAAAGGATTTGGTCCTATAATTTGTACGTTGCGCCAAGATTGGATTGTATTATTATGGTGTAATAACTTCAGTAGTAATAATAATTGTTAATTATTCAATTCAATTTTATTTGTATAGCGCTTTTAACAGTGGACATTGTCACAAAGCAGCTTTACAGAAATATATATACAGTGCTGTGCTGCAAAAGTCTTAGGCACGTGCAGAGAAACGCTGTAGAGCAAAGACGCCTTCAAAAATAATGAAATTACATGTTTCTACATTTAAAAAATACTATAAAGAGCAGCAAACAGTAATAAATGAAACAAAGTCAATATTCAGTGTGACGATGCTTAAATAAACAGTGTCTCAGGTGCAGTGTGTGCAGTTTGATAAGGAAACGAGCTGGAAGTGTTACTGAGCATCTTGCAGAAGCAGCCGCAGTTCTTCTGGAGACTTTGACTGTCGACTCGCTTCTTATTTCTGCAGCGAAACCCAGCAGCCTTCATTCTGTTTTTATCTGAAAAGTGTCTCTTATGGAATCTTTCTGTAACGTTTCATTCTGTGCCGGAAAACTAATGTCTGGAATCTAAAATGTTTTTGTACTGAATCAATAATGTAGAAGTCAGAAAATAAACATCTGTAACAAAGTGTGTGCAAAAAATATATATATATAGGGTGCCAAGACTTTTGCACAGCACTGTAGATATATATTTCGCCCTTTGACCAGTTTAATTACCTAAAAATAATGTAATTAATAAAATAATTATAACATGTAGGAGACTGTAAGGCTTTACTTGTATTTGCATTTGTAGTTTAATCGTTGATAACCGTTTATGTAAAGTCTTAAGAAACTACAGTTGCGAGACCATGTCAAGTAAAAATGGTTACATGAGCAATGTTTACATTGTTAAGAAATCCTTTACGCTTTTTTTTACATTTCCTGTCTTTCCTCTGCAGTATTCTGAGCAGCGAGCACGGGCCGGAGGCGTACGAGCTGCACGTGTCACTGAAGGACTACTGCTTTGCTCGTGAGGACCGCGTCATCGGCGTCACTGTGCTGCAGCTCCGAGACCTGACCGATAAAGTCAGCTTGAACGCTGCGTATCCGCTCATCCGCAGCGTCACCATGGACGAAACGGGCCTCACCATCACGAGGATCCTCTCGCAACGGACCAACGACGAGGTGGCCAAGGAGTTCGTACGCCTCAAATCAGAAACCCGCTCGGCCGAGGAAGCGTCGTGAAGAAATCATTGCGGAACATGAACTCAGTGAAGAAGCAAGAATTTTAAAAAAATTATGAAATAAATCAAAAAATAGAGGAGGGCAAGAAAATGAGGCAGGATGTTGCGACAGCGCAAGAGAGTTGTGTTGTTCGTTTCTGTGCATGTGTGTAAAACATCTGTTGGAATGTTCATTTGAAAAACTAAAAGCGTATGTACTACAAGTGTTTACCTGCTGTATGCTCACTATGAAATAATATATTCTACATTAACGAGACATTGAAGACGTTTTTTTGTATGACAACTAGTCTTTTTCGAGCAGGTATTTGTTCAGATAAAGTGCCAAACCCGATGAGAAAAAAAAAAACATAACAATTATCCAAAAAAAAAAAAAAAAAAAAAATCATAACGGTTATTGGTAATGTTGGTGATGTTTTGAATTTGCTTGATTATTTTATGTGTCTGAGTGTGTGTGTGTGTGTGTGTGTGTGTGTGTGTGTGTGGGAGATCATAATCTCTTTAATTGTGTAGCATTTTGTCTTTTTTTTCCCATGCGTCTTTCATGTTCATGCCTTTTTTTTAATCCCTCGACCTGTCCGACTCTTTTTTAAACAGCATTTTTTTAAAAACGGCGAGGACTGCTATCTAATTCTTCGTAGGCGTTTGTAATTTTATAGCCACTGACAACAGCGAGGGCCGCCTTCAGTGCTGAGCAGAACAGGCCGCGTGGGTTTTTCGCGCTGTTTCCTTGTTTGTGTTTCATTATTCTTCGTTCATTTCCAGGCTTCTCGACTGTTT